AGCTTTTAACCTACAGACCCCTGGCTTTTCCAGCTGTATTGCTTTTGGCAGGAACACTGTTCTGTTTGTCCCATAGTACTGCTGGTGGAAATCAGATGCTTTCCTTCAAGAAGGAAATCTTCTAAAGTATGGTCAGTGGAAAGCACATCCCAACATTGGAAGCAGATACTAGAGAATGACTCAGGTGTAGTCTTCTGCCCTAATGTCCTATTTTCCACTGAAATATAAGGGGGAAATAAAAAAAAACAAAAGCAGTTTTAATGCATCCTTTAGCTGCAGTGGCTGGGCAGTTAGTCAAGGACAGATAAATGTTGCCAAATAGAGATTTTTCAACTAGGTAAAAGCTGGCCCGTATCTTCAGAGCTATTTCAATTCTTGTTAGGTGTCTCTGAAGGTTTGGCCAGTCATGCCCAGATTTTAGCATTGTTAGAATGTTTTAATGGTTAATGTTTTAACACAGTTCTGATGTGATCATGCCACAGTTATGATTTCAACACAGTTTATAAGATGGGCTTGCCTTTAGTACAACCACACTGTTTTAGATTCAGACTAGCAACAGCATATGAATGGAGGACAAAAGAAAGATGACAGAAATGGGTGTGAAAAAGACTGGAGAGAAGGGAATAAATGAGAGAAACCTCAGCAGAGCGACACAAAGGAGAATGAGCAGAATGCAGAGAAATGCCTCAGACGCTCACGTAAGCACGGGAGATTTCATTTATTTGGCACAGAGGGACAATAGCCCTGCTAACCAGGATAGCTATTGTTCTTTTGTTTTTAAGAAACAAAAAGGGTAAATGCGAAGCACTAGCTTCCCAGGGAAAAATCATAAAAATAAGTTCTCATCCTGCTGTCTAATGAGGAACCAGAAGCCTCCCGCACTTCACCTATCGCCCTCACGCTGTTATTCACCCACGTGTTTGTCGGCTTAGAAAACAAATGAAATAAATTGAGGCCTCGCTCCGAGGAGAGCTCAGGGGTTTTTTTATAGCAGAACAAGTTAATTGAATCAAAAATCATCGAGTCAATGTACTAAGCAGAAAAATGCACAGTGCTATCTGCTGTGTACTTGAGCACACAAGTGCTCCAGCAGCTAGTGTTTCAAAACAGAGTGTAATACTGGTGTATTCCCTTTAGCTTTATTTCAGTGTTTTTCATTGTGAAGACAGAAAGCCTTCCATAATTGGAGGAAACCTCAAAACGTAGCGTTCCTTCGGCAGTGGTGGAGGGAGAAGAAAAGGCGGACTTTGATTTGGCAAGACAGAGGTGCTCCAATATGAGGGTGACAGCTGGAGAATAAGGACCCACTGTTCAGGGACAGTGAATTGCTTATAGCCTTTTACAAGCTCAGGGAGGGTGTAAGCTGTAAACGAGCTTTGGGAGCTTTGGCACAAATACAGTGGATCCTGTCAGCAAAAAGACCTTCTGCGGCACATAGGTAGCATCGTGAGCGCGTTAGGAACCATTTGAACCACTGACGCGCAGAATTGCCCTCTTCAGCCGCTTTGCTGGAAAGCAAACAGCTGTCACCGAGGAAGGCAGGGGTGTCAGATATGCCTGGAGACACGCATCTGGGAATTTCTGCCCAATTAAAATATTTCTGAACACAAAAGATGATGGTTTCTACCGAGGGAGCTGGTGCAGAGCACTAACTGGGAAACCCAAACGGATCTACCTTACGTTTGTTTTTTGGGGAGTTACCGTTCTTCACAACTGACTTTGCCTGGAAAAGGACAAGCTCTGCAGCATCACAACTCTCTGCAGCAACCACTAGACAAATAAACAGAGCTGAGGCAAGGCTCAATGATTTTTTAACCTATGATAGTCAAGGCTGTGGTAGATTTCACCTGCATGCTCAAATGGGAATATATGGATTTGTAATATAGACAGCACAGCCCCCGAGCCAAATCCTTTGGTGATGCATAAGGCAGGTTCTCAGCAGAATATACTACTGAGGGGCATAATAAATATTCATTCTTGTTTACAACTTAATGCATGTTGGTTGCCCCATGGACTTCATCAGCAATTCCCATTTTGTGGTCTTGCTTATGGACGTCTTTATGCACGTTAGTGCTCCTGAGTTTCTCAGTTCTCTAAAAGGCTTTTGGTGAGAGATCCTCACAGGCATGGCTTGAGTTTTGTTTAGTACCTGTCAGCAGAAGACAAAAGACATTTTAAAGTATACAAGTTAGTGTTATTTGTGTGTCTAAGGCCTAAATAGCATTAGTTATTTGTCCATCTAAGGGCTAAACAAAGGAGGAACATAACTGAATATATTTTAACAAACAGTTTTCCTGTTCTGTGGTAGTTTTGAAAATTTATTATCATTAGTGAACACTAATTTGTTTTGTGTTTTATTTGTGTATTTATAGATGCTTTCATTCACTAATCTGTATATTTTCCAATTTTTATTCTTTTTCCTGGTGTTTTGTGGGTTTTTGTTTTTTGGGTTTTTTTTGGCTTTCCAATCCCTAAGCCAGTTCCACATTTTAAAAATTCTCAATGTTTCCACTTTCCTTGTTAAGGGTGCAATGCCATGCGTCCTCTCTCACTACCACAAGCCATACTAAACAAGAGGGTGGCCACTCGGTCGTGCTGCAGCCGTAACTTTCCTCCATGCCGTTGCTGGTGGTGGGACGTTTCATTGAAAGCAAAATAATTGCTGCGGGTTTTTTGCTTAGTTTACGTCTCGCAGCAGCGCAAATGGCATCGCCGCTAATTTCTGCCTAACTCCATCGCGTCAGTTTGAAGGAGAGGAAGCGCCTGCCCCTGGCCAGCAGCAAACCCCCCTCGGGCTCCCCAAACCCTCCCGGGCACGCCGGACCCGGCGGCAACCGCAACACCGCGGAGAGGAGCCAGTCGCCCCTAGATTGGGCGTCAGAAAACAATTAATCGAGAGACTTAATGTTTAAAGCTGAATTAACGCCCCGTTTCTTTCAAAGAAGGGCCCCGAAGCCCCGCTCCTTCCCCGCTCGCATCCCAACGCCAAAAAGGGCGCGAGGGTCTGGCGACCGCCCGAGCCCCGGCGCGTCAGACCCACGGTGGGAGGGGGGGGTCCTCGGCGCCGAAAGCGGCGGTATTAAAAAACGGGGGGTGGGCGGCGGGGCTGCATGCGGGCGGATGGGGGCAGGTCGGGCCGGAGGAGGGCGAATGTTTCCTGCCCGCCGCCGCCGCCCCCCGGCCGCCCCCCGCAGCCGGGCGGAAGTCAGCCCGCGCCGTCGGAGCTTAAAAGGCTCCCGCACGCCGCGCCGCCCCAGTGCCGGCGGCCGCAGCGGGGCCGGAGCCAGCGCCGCCGCCAGCCCCGCGCCCCCCGCCCCCCCGGGGCCGCCCTCCGCACCCCGCCAGGCGGGGAAGGCGCCCGGCGCGATGGCTCTCCCCGGATCCCACGCCGCCCGGGACGGTGCTGCCGCATCAGTGAGTAATTCCTGCTAATTCACCCCCCGGGGCCGGTGGGCTCCGGCTCGGCAGATCGCGGGGGAGGCGGGCGTTTTGGTTTTCGCAGCTTTTTGCCACCCCCCCCGCCCCTCCTTTCTCCTCCTCTTCGGGTTTTATATTATTTTTGTTTTCTCAATAAAACACCACGCGAAGAGGCGAGATGACAAAGGAAATGTGATCCTAGGCGCTGCAGGGGCTCAGAGCGAGCGAGAACCGGAGAGGAGGAGGAGGGGGCGATCGTAGCGCTCTCGGATAGCATTGCACAGCGGCTCCAATTTGTGCGAGCGAATATAATACACCCCCCATGAATAATTCAGGGCGGCCGGCGGGGACCTGCCGCTGCTCCTCTGCCCGGCTGCGGCCGCCGCAGCCTGTGCGAGCCGCGCCGAGCCCGCGGCACTGACCGGCCGGGAGAGCCGCCCGAGCCGCCGGGCACCGCGTGTGGCGGGGGGGCTGCGGGCTCGGCGCTGCCCTCCGAGGAGAGCCCCGCGTAAAGGAAGGCGTCCGGCGAGAGCCGAGACTCAAAGAGGCGAGTGAGGGGACTGCTCTTCTTGGCCGCCCTCGGAGCCCTTTTCTTCCCATCTCCTCCTTCTCCTCCACGTCCCGCCAGCGTGAGTCTCTGCCGGTGGGGTGGGCATCAACGCCGCCCTCCATCCCCACCCCCCAGTCATGCGGTGGTGGAGCAGGCGTCGGCGGGGGAGGACTGGAGCCGGAGAAGTCTGCCTGGCCACTGTGTTTCAGTGCCTCTCTCTCTCCTAGAGCTGCTCTGGATTGCAAAAGTGGAGGGGGGAACTGAAACGAAATTTCCCCTTCCCCCCCGACAAGCACAGGTTTAAAGGAAAAGAGGAAAAAACCCAACGCCCCAAGAAGAAAGAGCGAAACTTGAGTTAAGCCCTTGCTGCCCCCCCATCCGCCTCCTCCCCGCCCGGCCGAGAGGGACTTGCACTGCCACCCCGACCCGGTTCTGCGGCCGTGGGAACCGGAGCCGAGCCCCGGCGGACAGAGGTCTGGTCCCCGCTGGATGCGGCGGGGATCGGGCGATCGGCGCCCATGCACTTTCCGTTTAGGAAGAAGACAAGTAACCAAACCACGTTGTCAAACTGCTGACCCGAGGGGGAGATGAGAAGACTGTGTGAGGTATTGACCGATCCGGGAATCGATACAATTTGTCTAATGCAACGGGGGATCGGGGGTTAAGTACATGTGAGGGAAGACAGGATCCATTTTTCTGAGGGAGAACGGGACAGCTACTACACCTTGATACCAAAAATACCCCCGCCCCCCCACCCCCCCGCAGCAGCCAGCCCGGCAGCAGCGAGCTACGAGGCGAGGACCCAGCTCCCTGCAGACCGCCGAATCGATGACACAGTATTTGCAAAACCGGCCAATCGATCCCACTTGGCAAAACGACTGATCGATGCCAGCTTGCTCGTAAGCTGCTTGCAGAACTACCTTCTCCCCGCGCCTCTGTTATTTTCCGCCCACGCTGCCTTTTTTTTTTTTTTTTTTTTTTTTTGAGTAAGGAGAGACACGTTTTTGCCCCCCATCGGGGAGTCAGGCCTGCCGCAAATGGCTTCGTTTCCCGAGTCCGACTTCCAGATCTGCCCGCTGTGCAAGGAGATGTGCGGGTCGCCGGCTCCCCTCTCCTCCAACTCCTCCACCTCCTCGTCCTCCTCGCAGACGTCCAGCTCCTCCGGGGGCGGCGGCGGCTCCTCCTGCGGAGGCCCGCCGAGGCGGCTCCACGTCCTGCCCTGCCTGCACGCCTTCTGCCGCCAGTGCCTGGAGGCGCAGCGGCACCCCGGCGCGGGGGACGCGCTCAAGCTGCGCTGCCCCATTTGCGACCAGAAGGTGGTGATCTCGGAGCCCTCGGGCATGGACGCGCTGCCCTCCTCCAACTTCCTTCTCAGCAACCTGCTGGACGTCGTCGTCGTGGCCGCGGCCGCCGACGAGCAGAAGAACGGCCGCGCCGCCGGGGCCGGCCCGACCGGGGGCTCTGGCGCTGGAGGGGGCGGCGGCGGCGGCAACAACCGGCACCACGGCCGCCCGCCGCCGGGGCCACCCCGCGCCGCCGGCTCCTCTCCCGCCGCCGCCGCCTCGGCCGCGCCCTCCTCGACGTCTTCGTCCTCCTCCTCCTCGGGCGGCGGCGGCGGCTCGGCGGCGCTCCTGCTGCGGCGGCCCCACAGCCGGCAGGGCGAGCCCCGCTGCAGCTCCTGCGATGAGGGCAACGCCGCCAGTTCCCGCTGCCTCGACTGCCAGGAGCACCTGTGCGACAACTGCGTGCGGGCGCACCAGCGCGTCCGCCTCACCAAGGACCACTTCATCGAGCGCTTCGCCGCCGGCCCTGCCGCCGCCGGCCCCGCCGCGCCGCTCGCTCTCAGCCCGCCCTACCCTGCCTCGCCATACAACATCCTCTCCGTCTTCCCCGACCGGGCCAGCTACTGCCAGCACCACGACGACGAGGTGAGCCGGTGCGCGGCGCGGGAGGGAGGGAGGAAAGAAGAGAGGGGGTGGCCGCGCTCCTGCCCCTGGCCGGCGCCAGAGGGCCCCCGCCCGCATCGCTGCCTCCCGGGGGGCAGGCGGCGGTGGGAACCGGCCGCGGCGCTCCCGCAGCCCGCGGAGGCGCTGGGCTCCTACCGCGGGGCTCGGGGGCCGGGGATGGGCTTGGGTTTGGGAGCACCGGTGCGGGGGACGGGAGCCCCTGAGACACCGGGGGAGGGCGTGCGGCGTCCCGGCCGCGCCCTGCTCCCACCGGGCGTCGCTCCGCACCGCCGCCCGGGAGGAGAAGGAGGTGGTAAAGGTGAGCCGGGGGGGCTCTCTGCGAGATGCGGGAGACGCTGTCTCCAGAGGCGGTCACCGGAGCCCCGGGCTGCCTGTGCGCGGTTTGCGGAGGGGGCATCGGGCTGCTGCGGTCGCTGCCCCTCAGAGGGAGCTCGTCGGGCGCGTACCGAGGGGTGGTGGGGCCGTGGAGATGCAAGAGAGAAGTTTAGAACCCCCCTCCACCCCCCCACCCGAGCCCCTAATGCTTCTAATGCTAAGTGGAGTCTGCTTTGTTCCACTGCGTTTGGCGTGTGACCCATCGGAAAGAGAAAAAACGAATAAATAGGGAAGGAAGATAACTTTATCAAGGAAAGGACTCCTTTTTGCTTATTTATTTATAAATAAATAAAAAGTAGTCAAAAACTTAGCAGAGGTACTCACCGTTGTGAATACCAGCTGCATCTAGTGATGCAAAAACGGGAACTTGCTTTACGTGGTCGTAACTTCCAAAACCAAAGCGGTTTAAATTTTGTTTCTGGTGACCCTGAGTATTGTTTCATAGACCTTAAAAGAGACAGCGGCTTCTTCAAAATGTACTGAAAGTGTCTTAAGTTTCATTGGGACAGTTTCTTGCTGTGACAGTTTTAAACTTGATTTTTCATTTGAAGCTGGAAAATGGCGATCTGCTGTCTTGCCCCTTCTGCTCTGGGCGTCAACGAGGGGGATTTTGCTGGAACTTTCCGGTAAATTCAGTATTGGATGTAGTTTTCTCCCAGTATGAAATCAGACAGCACAAGGGGCTACAGGAGAAAATCTGCCTGAGGACCGCTAGTACAAGAGTTTGCTGTGGGATGCTTGCTTAACTGATAGATGAAGGTGTTTAGCCTAGGGAGATGTGGCGATGCCTTTGTCTTCGGTTTGCAGGAGCACTTTTTTTTAATCTTCTCTAATATTGCTGTGCTTCAGAAATAATTTTTCTAGGAAGGTCTGGAAGAGCATTTTTTTTGTTTCTTAAAGTTGCTAGTGTAAGAGGACAAAGTATGGATTTTGTGGAAAAAGAAAAACCTTAATGACATTTGGAGAATGTGGAGCGTACTTGATGGACAGTGAAGTTTAAAAAAAAAATGCAACCCAGCAATGTTATTGCAGTTGGGCTGCCTACAGTTTTTTTGTGGTATCTAAGTATCTTCCTGCTAGTGGGCTTCCTAGAACACACGTAATATTGAAAAGCAGAATGAGATGAGGCATGATGTTCTTAAGATAGTAAAAAAGCTACCTTTTTGCATTCATTTTGGAGTATAACTCTGGATTAGTGGTATAGGCTGAAAAGCTTCTAGTTTTTATGTTCTCAGTAGTATGAAAGTTCTTGTCGAAGTGTGTAAAATGAAATAATGGAAGGGCTTTTGGCCATAGCATAAAATATCCATCTTCTAAAGGGATGTGTTCTCCATTACTTAGTGAAGAATATTTGGGACAGGAACTCCAAGGTATTTTGTAAACTTAAACTCTTAAATTGCAAAGGGAACAAGGATACTCTAGCCTTGCTTAAACCCTACAGCTTTTCTAGAAGCTGTAACTTCTAAAGAAGTTTAATTTATTTTACCTAGCTAATTTTATTTTCAACTGTGTGCTTTGAAAAGAGTCCATGTCTCACAGAATTGGTTTTGGGTGTTCTTGTGTCCTGTAGATCTAGAAACTGTGTTAAAATAAGTAAGCATTTTCAAGCCTTCAGCTCCTGTTGAGAAAGGCTTTTATTCTGCAAATTAATGATCTACTACTGTTCTTGATTAGGGGGTTTTGGTGGTTCCTTAATGCGGGTGTGCCTGATGAGTATTTGCAAGTCTTTATTATTCACTCAAGGGGAATTGTTTGGGAGAGACTGACTGTTGGGTACCGTTTATACTGAAAAACTTTCTCACTTCGGCTAAAAATATGGGCGATGTGAACAACTTTTTTTTGAGAAAGGGTGGCTGCAAAGCTGCGAGGGTTATTGCTTGTTTAATTCTAAGAATGCTATTTATAGCCTCATAAAAGCAACGATAATAGAAAGGCAGCCTTTCAGAAGAGTACTTAGTGCATCACTTAAGTACTTTGTTTGGCTAATAGTGTAAAAACAAACCTAAAATGCAAGACAGGAATGGTAGCCTGAAGGCTTAGTAGTGGTTAGATACTCTGGTTCTGCTCAGTAAGTAAGTGAGAAAAGCTGGTGAGCAGGCTATTCCCTCAGACCAATGTCATGCAGGTAAGGTTTGAGCACAGGCAGATCTCATATGTGAGCTGCTGAAAGAGTAGTTTTCTTGGATGCGGTTTCTCCTTCCCCTGTTTGAATCAGTTATAAGGAGTTTGACCCTGTCCCTGAGGGTTTTTTATCAACAAAAATTGCTGGCTCCCTAATTCTTTTTGGCTAGAACATGATACTCCTGTCTGAACATCGCTACTCATTTGTTACCTTTGGTTCTGTTTCTCTCTGGTCTTTCCACCTCTCCACCTGGGAGTCACTGTCCATTCCTCATTATTTTTCCTCATTCAACTCCTGTTTTGAGACTCCCTCAAGTGAGAAGGGAAATAACACTGTGGGTGGTTACTTACTGGGTGTTCCAAGTCTCAAAACAAGACTGCACATACGCATTTGCCAGACTAGATCAGCATAGCTGGTCATCCTTTAAATGCTGAGAAATGCAGACTTCAGCTCTTAACTGGGATAGTCTGGAGTTCTCTTTTTAGTCGAGTTGGTTCTGGTCTCAGTTGAGCTGTTGACTCGTGTATTATGAGTACATACAGTCTCTAAAACAGAGTATATTGACTGTTGCAGTAGTGGCAAACATTAAAGAAAGTGGAACCCTGAACACTGCTTTCAGGGTGGCAGTGGTTGCAAACACTACAGTGATGCATGAAAGTAAGTGAATAAACTATTCCTGTGGGGGGGGGGGGAAGGAAGCAAAAAGGCAATTTTTTGTCGTAGACCTGCTGGTTGCTTACCACTTGAAACCTCACTGTCTGAGGTAAAATCCTACCACGGCAGCAGGGGAAATGCTTCAGCTCTGTTTCAGAGCATTCTACGAAAGTAACAATGTTGCAACTCTGAAAATTTTCCTTTGTCTGGTCATGTTTGTTGTATGGACATAACTATCAATGCTATAGTAGTAGCTAGATGTTACTGTAATAAACCCAAGTAGAATAGGACTTGAAACTAGAAAAAGATTTGTGTGTAGTCTTACTCATATTTAAATAGAATATGCTGATATGTCAAAATGCAAAACGTACTTGATTGTTTCGTCGGGCAGACTGAAAGAGCACCTCTGTTTTTCTTTTCTTAGAAATACCAATAGCCTACAAACTAAATCATAATCTCAGAAAATATTGGAACAACTGTAGGACACTTGTCTTGTGTAGATAAACTACCTGGATTCAAGTGAGTTTGCAGACAGTGGAAAATGCCACAAGTTGCAGGTTAAGTAATGCCTGCATTATGGCAAGGCTCAGCTGATGTGTGCTGTAGTATCATTTGGTGATAACAGTGGTGGATGGTCAAAACACTTCAATAGCAGACTTCTAACACTTTGTAGGGAAAGCGTGGAGTTGCCAAATTCAGTCAGCTTAATGGTGTGTGACCCTCTACTTCTCATATTGCTCTACAGAGGCATAACCCTGTAGCACCATGGCTCCCTCCACTGCAAGAAAGGATTTTAAAGGTCTTTCTCTGCTTGCCCTGAGCCACTCTGTTCCTTCCTTTTGCTTGCATCAGTTCTGTCTTTGGTTAGGTTCTGAACTGATCAGATTAATTCACAAACTCCTAAGTTTCTTGCCAGATCCGCATGTGTCAGTGGTTCATAGGGCTATCAGTGCATGTAGACGAGACTTGCTAAAATTAGGATTGCTTGATTGAATTCTGGATTTGCATATATTCTTGTATTTCTTGTCATTTTAAGTCACAAATAAAGTGCATTCCTTCTTAATTGTCCTATTCAGCTGTAAAAGATGCAGCTTTCAGGGGAATGCGCATAAATAGGGGAAGGTGTTCAAATGAATAACTGTCAGCTGAACTGAAAGCTGCTTATCTGGTACTTTGCATAAAGTTGCTGATTAAATTTATGTCTAAGATGCTTCAATGTGGGGTGAAGTTCTGGTTTCACACTAGGAGGGAGCAAGCTCTCTTAACATCTCATGGCTACTCAGAGGATAGGGGATCTCACTTCGTCCTCTCACAGGCTTGGCTGTGTGCACTCAGGAGATGCTTCTCTGAGCCAGTTTAACTCGTTAACGTGACAGAAACCAGAAAACTTTTCTCCCTTCTTCTAGTATTGGTATAAGTTTATTTTAATTGCGGAGGAATCTGGCCCAAGCTAAACTGGTACGAGAGGAAAAGAAGGAATAGTGTGGTTAGGCAGGAATGGTAGGTTAAATGGGGTTGTTTTTGTGTAATGTCTTGCAGTCACTGCCAAATGCTGAGCTTTACTCCATGATGCTCTTAATGCCAGTCACCCACGTCTCGTCTCACCAAAACAATTGGCTAATGCAATGGGAATATGCCTGTGTTCCCAGTTATGTGTGTCTTGCTCGAGGGCTATTTATATGAAGCTGCAGCATGTGATACAAATGTGATGCAGGCTCTTGCTATTCCTTTTTCTAACGATTTTAGGGTTTGCCTCCTAACTCCTAAAATATTTAATCATTTTAGGAGTGTATCTTGGTCTTAAAATGCA